TAATTATAATATTTTTGTTAAAATTATTTAGAGATAAATTCATTTTACAGTGTATACAAACTAATTTAAGGACACTTTAATTCTCCAAACTAAAAAAATATTGTTTATAAATAGGATAATGATAGATATATTTTTTGATTTAATATACTGCACAACATATTTATTAAAAAATTATTAATCTCAAATTTAAATTTAAGGGGGTAAAAATATTTTATTACAAAATTTAATAATTGAACTAATGAGTATTAATTGATGTATTGCACTACTAATAATTTTTTATACGAATAATAATTGAATTTTTTTATTAGTTGTTCTAATTACATTAAAAAACTTATAAAAAATTAATTAAAATTATGTGTAAAAAAAAAATGCACCACTTAAACGAAGAAATGGAGAGAGTATCCCCTTAAAAATGATTAAGGATAACATCCAAAAAAAAAAATATATAAAGATTAAGGATTACATCAAAAAAAAAAAAATGATTAAGGATCACAGATTCCATTACTACCATTCATGTTTTGACAAATTTCAACTCATAATTCATAGTTTATTATTTATTTATTTATTTTCAGAGGGTTTTTTAAGTCAATCAACAAGTCAACTAGGAAGGCTGGTAAAAGCCTGGGCCATTTGGCAACTTGAAAAATAATTTCGCTACCATTGTGTCCACTCCCACCCGTTCAAACTCCGGTGTCTTCAAATGTAATTGGGTCAAAAATGACGACCCTATATATCCATCCAAAAATAAGTATCCCCACCTCTTTCTCTTTCTCTGACTCTGTGAGCCTGTCTCGTTTTCAGATCTTCACCACTGGCAGAATTGCTGCCCTTCCTTACAATAATTATCTATTTTATATTATTATTTTTTAAAGAAAATAATATATATTTACTCAATTATTTTAAAATACTTGTGAATTGTCTCTATTCATGTATTTGGTAAATCTTTACTCAATGGCTTCTACGGTTGGTCACTTTCTCAAAAAAATAATTGAGGAAGCCAACTAAAATTGTACTTGAATGAGCTTAGGAAATTTAATTCCTTAACATGTGCATTGAAGCACAATATAATTAGTTATAGATGGATTAATAATGTATTATATTATCAATTTTTTAAGAAAGTTTTTTT